AGTTGATCATTAAACTGAACAAATTTGAACAATTGTAACCCCACTCGAATCTGGGTTGATGCCTGGGAAGGTAAACCTGAGAGGCAGGCACGTTGCTGATAAAACTGGCTCTGAACTTTTCCATCTGCCAAACAGTCTGTTTTAAAATGTTATTGATGATGTAGGATGCGTTTCTGACACAGCACTCGTTAATGGATTAATTGTGAGACATAATCTCACTAAAGAGCCCAAATTGCTTCTTGTGTTGTGTGATTTTTCTTATTCCCTTAGGAATGTAGAAGGATTTGCCCTACTTAGGAGCACTGGACGCTGCACTTCAGGTTATGCAGCTTTTAGATAAGCTGGGGAAGGGCAAAATACTCTCCAATGATTCACACAATCTGATTTTCATCTTGTACCATTTTCTGATGTAACTCATCGTGCTGCAGTGGATTTGCTTGTCAGCTAGTTCAGATTAAGTGAGAAAGTGGGAATTAGGTCCAGAGATTGCCTGGATGTGATTCTACTATCTTAAGGTTTGTGCAGTAATTTACACCATATAAAGCTTATTTTTTAAGAGCTGCTTTCCAGAGGTGGGTGAGATAAATAATGTCCTGCTTTCATTTCTCACCTTACAATTCCCTTTGCTTTTTAAGATTCGCAGTGAACCAAGCAAGTCTGCGGGTGCTTTGAAATAAATGTCCAGCTCTGCACTGGGTCTCTGCATGGAAGTGTTTGTTTTTCAGGGCGTATTGCAGTATGAATGAAAGGTATTTTTCTTTCTCATAGCAATCCAAGAAATCAGTCCATGCATAATATAGTCTCTACTTTGAAGGGTTTTTAGGTCATTGCTCAACTTGGCCTGGGCTTAGTGTCTGATGAAGGGCTGATAACGTGCAGTTAACCTGCGCTTTCCTCCCTAATAATTAAATAACATGAAAGTGTCTCTGATTAGTTGGTGAATTGTTTGCACCAGCATGACTTGAATCAGACTTACTGGAGTATCTGCACAATGCATACAAAAACAGCAGTCTTGACACTGGAGAGAATGGGGACTTATTCAAAGGGATTTGTAGGCATAGATTGGGAGCAAATGTGGGAATTGTCCCTAAATACAGTCAATAATCAGAGTTTTGTAATGGGAAGCAGCACTGCATTTTCACAACCCAAACGTGCAGTGCTGCCTTGTGAAGAATAGTCCAGTAATTTCCAGTCCTGGAAGGTGTCCTGCTGCAACAGACTGTCTTGAAGGTCTTAACTCTGGCTGTGCTCTGCAAAGAGTTGGGGAGCAGGAGGGCAAGGACAGCCCTGAGCTCTGCTATGCATTCTGCCAAGGATTCAGATAGCCTTTGCTTTGTTTGAATTGCAGTGTATTGGTAACAGGTACTTCTGGCCCTTCAGATATTGCAGCTATACAATCCTTCTGCCTTTTGAGACAGGCTGACAAACTGGAAAGAGCTGTAGTAGGTGCAGGCCAATATGGAGATACCCCAAGGTTCTCCTAGTTCTGCTCGATTCCACACAGCTTACGTAAGTCAGGTTAGAAACGTGCACTTGAAGGGTATGGAAAGAGGTTTTTACCAATTAAATGCTCATTGATGACCCATGCAAAGCAAGAACTGAGCCCAGCTGGGTGAGACGGGGCTGCATCTGCTCACAGTTGGCAGATGCAAGGCATGGTGGAGGGCAGTTATTTAATTGCTCATTGGAGTCTGGAAGGCTGCGAGCAACAGGGAGTTTGGTTATGGGCTGTCATTAAAGGAACGCATCAAATTAGTATTTACCCAGCCCTAATGAAAATCTGTTAGGAAAATAGTCAGAACAATTAGAGTAATTCATTGGAAGTTGATAAGCCTGTAAGGGTTGCAGTGAGTCATCATTTCTGCAGCATTTGCTCATCTGTTAATACCAGTGGAAACGTATGAAGAGCTATTCAAAAAACCCAAGGATGTGCAGGATCCAATATCCTAGGAATTGGTCCTGTCTTGTGCCTGTGTGGGAAGCTCTTGGGCACCTTAACAGTTTGAACTATGAAAGGTTTGATACTTTAGCTTTGACTGAGATACACTGTGAGTGGTAACCCCACTTAGACACTTCAGGTCTGAAAAAGGAAGATAAAAGGTGTGCTTTCAACGTGTACATGTTTTCTGTAGGGAAAATCATCAGATTAGCTGAACTTCCTCTGCACAAGTGACAAAGTCTTTATCTGGGCCTGGCGCTGCTCTGTGATAAGGAGCAAAGTCCAGTCTCTGGTGTCTGACACAGGAATTTGGGGCTGCAAAACTTGAAGAATTGGTTGTAAAATATTTTTTTAAAATAAATACTTCCTGCAGTCCACATCAGAATACTTGGGATGGCTTTGGGTTTACAGGATTTCAGAGGAAACGTTTTCTTCTGTCTTAGCTATTTCTTACTGTCAAGAATATTTTCTCAGTTCTGATTTATGTTGCCCCTGTTGTTCCTAAAATCTTTATTCTTGGCTTAATCTTCAGAAAAATTACACAAGTAACCAAACAGTTGGGGTCAGGAATGTTAGCAGGTTCCCTGCATGTCCTGCTGCATAGTAGCTGAGTACGAAATGGGAGCTCACTTGTGCCTGAGTGCTGCTCAGACGTGACACTGCCGTTTCATGAATGAGAAAGGCAGTCAGAATGCTCTGATGTCAAATGTCTCAACATCACAAGTGGCTGCCGAGCACATGCAGCTGTAGAACTCTCCCTGTTAATGCCAGTGCCAGTAAAATCAAGCAGTGATAAGTGCGCTTGGAAATGTCACCCTCCAGTTCTCAGATGTCTTGACAGTCACAGAGTCCATAAGCAAAGTAGGGCGTAGGAAGGCACAGAGAAGAAAAACCCTTTGGCACGATGAAACTGTAAGATTTAGGAGCTGTAGAAACCCTAAGGGTGAATCTTGTCTCTGCTGGCCTAACCAAGAAAAGATGTATTTAATAGACATGGTCCTAAGGATCTTTCATACACCTAGGTGACCTTCTTTAAGTAGGCTTTGCATGGTTTTGATAGTGGGAATAAAGCAGAGAAAAAGGCCTCTGGGATTTACCAGAAAGGGGAATTTTAATAATGTTTATAGACATCTCTTTTAAGATTTAAGGTCAAGTCTTTATGTTTATTTCCAAGGCCTGGCCTTTTGTGCTTTGGCCGTTTATTTTACAGAGGTAGAAGTACTTTTGAGATCTGTTTGAGAAAATAATGTAAGCGTTGCATATGTTTTGCATTATAATAAGTGCTCCAGATGCAAATCCTTGAGTTTAAAGCTTCTGGCCTATCTTTAGTGATAGAAATCTGCAAATAATACCAGGAAGTAGCTGTTGCTTGAAAGCATGAGGACTAGTGCTCCTTGTATTATATCAGTGTTTGTGGCACTGTGGTGCTATTTCCATGGCAGATCCTTTCCCATCACAGAGGATGGTGGTTGTACCTCCAGTGTCCTCCAGACTCTACTGAGCTTTGGTATTTGTGCATACAGATAGTGGGGTGGGGATTTACAGTGCAATGACTTGAAGGAAAGAGGGTAACACAGTAAAACTGAGAAGTCAGCTGAAGCTGTGGCTGGGATGTAATGTCAGGTCTGGTGTCTGCTTATAGCTTTCCACCTTCTTTATAGAGTGACAGCAATTTGCTGAAATGTCGTCTTTGCTCCCAAACCAAAGCAGAAGAGGTGATAGGAGAACTGGAGGCTTGGTTCAGGCTCAGCTCTGCTATTCGTAAATCAGTCTCACGCATAAGAACTGCCTTTAATATAGGGATCCTGCAGCCAGGCTTCCCAAATACATTAAATCCTTCTCTTAGAGCACTAATAATACTTAATAAAAGTTTTATGAGCAATGTACATTTTAGAGTAAATTTTCATATCCATTTTCATTTGAAAAAGAACATCAAGGAGCAAATGTATTCATGCCAGAACAAAGTAATTTAGTAGAGTCACAAAAATGGCAAAGGCCCTCTCTGAAATAGTAGGAGAGCGTTGATTAGGCAAAGCGACAATGGGGATGGGATTCAAAAAATTAATTCAGCATGAAGGACTTGAAAAGGAAGAAATTTCCCATGTGCCAGCTAAGCATATTTCTCTGCCTGGAAAGGTGGAAAGAAGTCGGTCTCCATAGTGCAGCCCCACAGAGCCTTCTAGAGCTGTGCATCCGGACTGCCCTGTGCAGATGCTGACCTCAGGGAAGTATCTTCTGAGGCTCTTGGAGCACTCCTTAGGACCAGTGTTAGCTGGTGTCAGTGCAGATAATATTACTCACGAGTATCGGGGAGCAACTGGAATTGGAAATGTCAGAACAAAATTGGATGGGACTCTCTGCAGCCTGCTCTAGTGGATGCCAACACTGTCTATGGCAGGGGGGTTGGAACTAGATTGTTTAATGTCTAATCTATGCCATTCTATGATGATTTAGCTGGTCACCTCAGGTGCTTCCAGGGCTACTGAGTGTTCTCACTTCTTAGCCATCTGTTTTATCTGATCCCTGTCCTTCCCAGAGTGTGGTACTCAGGTGTGGAATTGAAGACGCCATCCCATCTGAGTCACTGCAAAGACTGCGTGTCTGCTGAAGATGCGGATGTTCATTTAATCCAATCTGTTGTTGGAGGGAGAGGTGTTGCACCTGAAGTCATCTTGATAAAGGGAGATTTGAAGTAAAAACTGAAAGGTCAAAACAAGTCAACTATTTAACAAAAGCCAGCCACCCTATTGAGATGTTTTCTTTCCACTTGAATTTGCCAAATAACAATTTTTGGATGTATTTTTCAAGCATCTTTATAAACAGGAACTATTTCAAAATATCACCACAGCTTAAAGAAGTGACTTTTGTCTCCTGAAAGGAGAGGTTGTCATCAAGTCACTTGTGTGAGTGTGCATTTCTGATCAGGAGAGGACCACCTGACTAATGGAAGATGTCAAACACTTCACTTTGTCACTCTGTTTTCTTTGGGGTTTGAAGTAACAGCATTAATAACAGTGTGAACCCCGTTATTCTCATGCAGAAATGCTTTTGTGTCTTGCAGGAATCTTCTTTATGTCTATCCTCAGAGCCTTAACTTTGCCAACCGCCAAGGATCTGCCAGGAATATCACTGTGAAAGTCCAGTTCATGTATGGAGAGGACCCAAGCAATGCTATGCCGGTGAGGGGAGTGCTTGGTGCTCAACGTGAATGCTTCGTGCCAACAAGACAGGATACACATTGCAGCCATAAAATCTCTGTGTTAAAGAAAACTCAATGGAATACACTTCCAAATAAATTCCAGGAAGCATAGAGTCACAGTGTTTTTGAACCCAGGGGGTGTTTGTATTGGGTATACAAAGTAACAGTATAGCACTTGGTATTTTGACCTTAGATATTTGCAGTGGGACTTCTGAATTCTCAATCATCTTGATCTTTGTTGGCTCTGTCTGGGGATGGTTACATGCATCATCAGTTCCTTAGCTCTATCTGTGTGCATGTGTGAGCAGGACTATTAAAACTGTAAATCTTCAGTGACTGAGTAGAATAGAAGCATAGAAGCAAAGGAGTATGTAACAAGTTGGTGTTGTACACAGCTTCATGGAATAGAGCTGTGAATGGGATTATGGAACAGACTCGTGGCACCTCTCTGTATGCTTTTTTTTCTTCTTTTTTACAGGTCATCTTTGGCAAATCTAGCTGTCCTGAATTTTCCAAAGAAGCATACACTGCTGTAGTATATCATAACAGGTAAAATCTATGACAGTTTGTAAATGGAGATGGGTCCCTAAGGATAGTATTGTTCTGTTTACCAGTGAAACAGTTGTGGAGCTCACCAGTGTCAAGAACATTGTGTCAGGCTGTGATCTTGAGCATTTAGCCCAACTCAGCAGATGCTCTAAGGATAAGCTTCAAGTTAGACCTGAAAATGTAGGATATAAACACTCGTTAGCAAATACTTTGCTATTGTGTTGAGTAATTAGGTATTTAGAGCTTTCTAGGATGTAGTTACAGATTAGAAATACTTGGTCTTGAAACTTATGTCAGAGCAGCTCAGGTAAGGAGTGCTGAATCTGACCTTAACATACTGTCTGTCTCTGTGGCTGTTCTGGAGAGAAAATCTTGTCCTTCAGGTTGGGTATTGTGGCATCAGGGAAAAGTTCATTGCCTCATGGGGAGAGACACAATTCAGAATGCCTGTGTGAGGAGGGGCTGCACTGCAGCCCACCAGGATGCTGCTTGTATTTTTTTTGTAGACTGGAAATAAACTATGGAAGTTTTTCCAGTCCTTGATGATTAGAAGGTAAAGCTTTAAATTCCTTAGAGTATTCCTTATAACTCCTTCCCTCCAGATAGTTTAACTCAAAAGATCTGCAGCACAAGATAGAAAACCACACTGCTTATATTGATGACTAAACAAAGGGTCTGGTTTCTGCACAGGTCACCTGATTTTCACGAGGAAATCAAGATTAAGCTTCCAGCCACTTTAACCGATCACCACCATCTGCTTTTTACTTTCTACCATGTCAGCTGCCAACAAAAACAAAACACTCCCCTGGAGACTCCAGTTGGATACACCGTGAGTGGCTTTCAATCTCTTTTTCAGCACAGGATAATATTCTGTAGATGGATAATGCATTTATTTGCAGTTTTTTTAGTCATAACTGTCAGTGTATACCATTGTAGAGTTTGAGACAGTCAAGCTTGTGGATTTCAGTAAAGCCTTAAGAAGTTTGTATTTTCATTTCTTCTTGTTCTTCAATTACTTAAAGTGGATTCCGATGCTTCAAAATGGACGGTTAAAGACTGGTCAGTTCTGTCTCCCTGTCTCACTGGAAAAACCACCACAGGCATATTCAGTGCTTTCTCCAGAGGTGAGTAGTTTCTCACATTGAAAATCAGCAGGAGAATACTTCTTTTTTAAATAAAAAAAAAAAAAAAGTGAGAAGTATATGTGCACTTATAAGCTTGTGTGTGCATGCATCTGTATTTCCTAAATGCTAAGTATAGTTGTGTGTGTGTGCACAGAATCACAGAATGGCCTGGGTTGCAAAGGAGCACAACGCTCATCAGTTCCAACCCCTGCTGTGTGCAGGTCACCAACCAGCAGCCCAGGCTGCCCAGAGCCACATCCAGCCTGGCCTTGAATGCCTGCAGGGATGGGGCATCCACAGCCTCCTTGGGCAGCCTGTGCCAGTGCCTCACCACCCTGTGGGTGAAAAACTTCCTCCTCATATCCAACCCAAACCTCCCCTGTCTCAGTTTAAAACCGTGTATGGTCTGACAGTAAAATGAAATGGCAATTGTAATGAGAAGTACTGTAGCTTTTCTTTCTGTCACATCTCCATTCATCCTTCTGCTCACCTGTAGGTTCCACTTCCTGGAATGAAGTGGGTGGATAATCACAAAGGAGTTTTCAATGTAGAAGTTGTTGCTGTCTCATCCCTCCATACTCAGGTAAGCGTTAAGATCTGTCGTTTTAATAAAAAAATCTTGATAATCTGTTGGCAGTTGAAACACTGTCAAAGAGTTTGTAATGAAGAGTACAGCAATTACAGTAGTGAAATTACAATCTCATTTTCAGTTCTGAGCCAGCAGACCTGTTATTCCACGTTCTGCTGTGAGTATATCTGAGAAGTTCTGCTTAAAAACATGAATGGTTTGGCCTTTATTCACAGGGGTTGAATGGCCAACAATGTTTTCAGACCTTTGACTGTTGTTTTAAATACAACAGATCTAACATGCTGTCCAAGCATATGATGTTTTCTTGTTTTTCCTTTTCCTCCCTGTCACTTCTGTTTCCATGTGTATTTTTTGTCTGTCTTTGATCCACAATGAGAGATGGCAATCGTTTTGAACTCATCGTTTCAACTTTTAGTTTATTAATTCCTCGTGTGTCTTTTTGATGGTTTTTTGATGTATTTTGTTTGTGCTGTCAATAGTACTATGACTTCAGTGCATTTCTGTCTGTTTCTCTAAAGAACACAGTCTGTGAGTTCTCTACTTTTGCCTGAACGCTTTCTGAACTGGCTGATTTAAGCTGAGCTTAAATAGGCAGAGCTCTCACAAGTGTTGAGTTTCTGGTAATTTTGTGGAATTAAATGTCCAGATATAAGAGGGGAAAGAGAGAATCCATCAGTGAGGACAAGTCCACAGAGAGCGGTGTTCATGTGGGAGCTTCTTGCTGATTTCTGTTCTGTGCTTGTGTGTAGGACCCTTATCTTGACAAGTTCTTTGCACTTGTCCATGCTCTGGATGAGCACATGTTCCCTGTGCGAATAGGAGACATGAGAATTATGGAAAACAACTTGGAAAATGAACTGAAGAGCAGCATTTCAGCTTTAAATTCCTCTCAACTGGAGCCGGTAGTGCGATTTCTTCATCTCCTGCTTGACAAACTGATTCTTCTGGTAGTAAGACCTCCTGTCATTGCAGGCCAAATAGGTATTCTATTTAAGTTTTATAGAGAATTACATAGCTGAGAATTTGACACTTCCAATGTTATCATATTTATGTAGAAATAAATAAGTCCATTTTTATCCTTTACTTTAGTGCCACTGATATACCATGCATCTTCAAAGTAAAACATTCTGGCATCCAGACCAGTGATGATATACACAGGAGCAACATTCAGTGGAAAGGTTTTCAAAAATGGGTGGTAATTTGGTGTCCGAGTTGAGACACCAGAAAGGAGCCTGACTTTCAAAGTTGGATGCCCAGTGCTTTCTTAGCATTGGAGCCTGTTAATGTGTCTCCGTACTGACATTCAGAAACTGAGTCTTTCAGTCTCACTAGTCACCTTGGAGAACTTTGAAGTAGGTAAATTAAGAAGACGTAGATGCTGTAGTTTCTGTAGCTGTTCTAGTCTGATGTTGTCAGCATGAATAATCCCTTCTTTTGCTCCCTGTTAGGGTTTTGCCTAAATGGCCTAACTGAGCATTTAATTAAACTTCTCAGAAAGGAAGCCTGCAATTCAAACACTGGTGAGGAAGTTGCTGATGTGTTTTCTGAACACACCAATATACAGGGAGGTGCTGACTGCAGAGAGGAAAGGGAGATGTACTGACATGGGGGACTTTGTGAACCAACTTACGTTAGATTTACTGTTTCCAGCTGCAGTCTGCTTCATCCTCATTTGTTTAAAATGTCTAGCCAGGTCCATGTGTGGATTTCTATGCTTAGTTTTTTGAACAGAATGTTACTTGAAAACAGAATGGAATTGCTCTTTTTCACTTTGTATTTTGACTGATACTTAAATGGAGCCAAGAGTTTACTGAGAAATGCGTGACAAATATCCAAAGGGCATCAGGTGAACTAGGATATTGTTACCATTGCAAACTGGGGGGCCAAAGTTGGTCTGATTCCAGAAATCAAACCTAAATTCATCAAGTGTTATTAAAATGAGAGGAACTGCAACACTGCAACACCTGCCTTCTTGTCAAGTTGTTTATTAGCCCTACTTCAAATACCAGCTTCAGTTTTTCTTGAGAAATGCTTGCTGTACTCTAACAAGCTTCACCATTTATCCTTTAGAAGGTGGATGAAATGCAAATTCAGAATTTGTTTGTGGGGATTGCTGAAATCTAAAACAACTTTTTTTTCTTTTTTTTTTTTTCAGTAAACCTGGGCCAAGCATCTTTTGAAGCAATGGCTTCAATCATAAACAGACTTCACAAGAACTTGGATGGAAACCAGGACCAGCATGGCAGAAACAGCCTTCTTGCTTCCTATATTTACTATGTTTTTCGCCTACCAAATACCTATCCCAACTCGCCATCACCAGGTAGCTCTTTTTTCACTTCATTTCAAGTCACAGTTTGTTAAAAGCAAGCAGAAAGTGCTTCCTGGCAGATGCTCTGAGCTCCAATTGCATGACTGGTTCCCTGCCAAGTCCTGTTATTAACTTTCTCTGCGATGCAGTGTTGCCATTTAAATGATGAGTTTAATTACAGTTAGAGCCATGTCAGGAATTTAACTATTCAGTGGTCTCAAAGTGCCATTACTGAAAGAACTTGAGGTGAAATTATGACAAAATGCTGTTCTATTTACTTTGTTTTGTGACAAATGGATGGGATACCCTGTGGCCTATCCTGCTTCCCTGACTCTTTCATTGGTACTTTAGGACTTTTATTCAGTTCCAGCAGAAGTTGATGCGCTGGCATAGGAGTCTGAAATACTTAAATACAGATGTGTACAGGAGGGAATCACATTGATTCTACCTCTGCTGAGAACAAGAAAGGCATCTACTGGAATGGAGATACAGAGATACAGAAAACCCGGCTTTGGAAGGCCCGTTGTTCACAGCACTTGTTTCTTGCATGGAATGGAAGGCCACTGAGGAGACTGGAAAAGTTGTGTGCTTAGAACTATACTTCAGAATTCAGTGCTTTACTGTTTCCAGTCTGTGATCTGGCTAAAGGCAGACCTCATGCTGGCTGCCTGAAACCACAGGGAGCTTCCTGCTTCCCACAGATCACAGAATAAAACAGCATGTTGATCCCATCTCCCAGCTGCTAACCTTGGAGCACCAGGCAGGGGAAGCACGGGAGATTTCCTTATGGACCAGAGCTACTGATTATGCAAAGGTTTTGTAGTAATAAGGTGTAAAGCAGGGCGGGATGGAGGCTTTGACTGGAGGTGCAACAAGATGTTCTTTGTATGGCACTGTAGGTCCCGGTGGCTTAGGGGGATCAGTGCATTATGCCACCATGGCTCGATCTGCTGTCCGACCAGCAAGCCTTAACCTGAACCGCTCACGGAGCCTCAGCAACAGCAACCCAGATATATCTGGGACCCCCACCTCACCTGATGATGAAGTTCGCTCGATCATTGGCAGTAAGGTACAAATGCACAGCCAAGGGGCTCGGGGATGGCAGTGTCTTTTATTTCACATCTAAAGTAATGATGGGGAAGTTCTCGTGTTTTATTTCCTATCAAAAGTTGTCCTCACTAGCAGCCCCATCTCAGGCTTATTCTGGTGGTTATGGAAAACATGCCTGATATTCCTGAAAATTGCTGCTTCTGTCTCTGATTTATTAGAGACCATCCTGCCAGTATTACTTCCATGGGTATGATGGCTGGGGCTGGAGTCCTTCTGGACTTGCCTCCCCAAGACCAGTAAGACAAGGACAGCTTTCTTCTCACTTCTCACATGGCCAGCAGCTGTATCCTCTGACTAGCTGTTATGTCTCCCCAAACCTTGCATCCCCTACTTTGCTACCCTTTGATCCCAGTGTTACCTCCCAAACCAAAACTCTCTCTTCTCCTCTGTGTTCAGCACTAACAGCTGCTCAAATGCTCTCTGTGTTACTTATGTCCAAAGCAAGTACCTTGCACGCATCAGACATATTCCATGGCCAGAAAGATTTCACTTGGTTAGCAACTGAGCTGCAGTCTAGCTGCAGTATGAATTTTTGATGTACTCACTCAGCATCCACAGTGACTCCCCACCTTTATGGTGGGCAGACCTCATTGTGGCCTTCTAGTACTTGAAGGGAGCATATAAACAGGAGGGGGAACAGCTGTTTACGAGGGTGGATGCTGATAGGACAAGGGGGAATGGTTTTAAACTGAGACAGGGGAGGTTTGGGTTGGATATGAGGAGGAAGTTTTTCAGCCAGAGGGTGGTGACGCACTGTTCACAGGTTGCCCAAGGAGGCTGTGGATGCCCCATCCCTGCAGGCATTCAAGGCCAGGCTGGATGTGGCTCTGGGCAGCCTGGGCTGCTAGTTGGCGACCCTGCAAGTAGTAGGGGGATTGAAATGAAATGATCTTTGTGGTCCTTTTCAATCCAAGCCATTCCAGGATTCTATTATGATTCTATGGCCTTTGTAACTTGCTGAAAGTGGCTTTTCAAGGAGTGGGGGCAGATTAGTACAAAGCATCTGGTGTGGTCTTACTCCAGCTCTTAGGTGCTCTGGGTATATGTGTGCATGTTTATGGCATGGTTTTTGGACTAGATTTTCTTAACCTCAGTTATGTTGTCTATTCTGGGAACATGGTTGTCAGGGCTTTCTGTGTAATCAGTATAGAGAAAAAAAGCTTCTCAGCAGATGATTTATGCCACACAAGGTATGAATCTCCTTCTTGTCCCACTCTTGTGAGTTCTGAGTATGTAGAGCTGCTACCAATACTTTGTGCCTAAAATAGGTGACATGAGGCAGGACAAACCTGTGTTGGTAGATCTGTTACCTGAGAGGAGTGCCTTAGTTCAGTTTGGGCTCTTTTTTTGTGTTTGAACTGAGACACCTTGCACCGAGATGAGACACTTTCCCCACCTGTGTCCCTTCCAGCACAGATGAGTCTGATCTTTTGATTTGGTCCTTCTGGCAAAATAGCAGCCATCAGCCCCAACAGGCAAGCTTGACACAGTCCTGGGTTGTATAAGGGAAACCTCTTTGAGAAAGAAATTTATCTTTGAGAAATTAATGGTGACTTGCTTTTCTGAGCAAATAAGATGCTGAAGTAACATGGATAGGCAAATAGTTATTTGTTTCATCAAAGTTTGGACTTCAAAGGCTTAAAATCTTTTAAAGACCACCTCAGTATCTTGCTAATTTATCAACTGTGACCTTTCGTGAAATGCCATAGGCAGTAATGTGCACATGGAATTCACACAGGGTATCAGAAGCTTTACATGTGCTGGCATAGTGAATAATGTCACAGTACAAAATGAAGAGAAATTTTGTTCTAGAGGTACTCCAGGCTTTAAATATGCAAATATATCCATAATTGCTGATGGGGATTTTTTTTTTTTCCATGTTAGCCAGATAGTATCAGAAATTAAGCTTGGTCTGACTATACAGAATGTTGGTTTAATGTAATTGTTTCTGTTCCTTGATGTCACTAGAAACACGAATACTTCCTGAGATGCTGAAAGGAGTACAGGATGCATAAATTTCTGTTCTCTTTCTCCAAGCAAAAATCTAAGCACATATACACCCAAACAAGGAACTTATATTTCACGTTGAATCTATCTGGAGTCTTTCTGCTTTTAAAAGGAAAAAATAATGTGTGGTGGAACTCTTTAGAGCTCAGTCTTCTGTTGTTTCTTATTGTAATGTATTTGATAGTTTTGGTAAAGTTGCTTTTGGTCTTTCTTACATCAGCATTGTGTTTAATTCTGAGCATTGAAGCAGTCATCCCCTTTAAAGGATTTAGAAGATTTCTGTGGTTTTGCATAATAGAGGAGGGTTTAGGTCTTGTCACTTATTTTGCCTTCATTTGTGAACTGAAGCCATGTAAATTTTATTCCCTACTGAAGAGGATTTATTAACTGTCTAAAAAGAGTATGTTGAGATTTTTATGCTTAAAGTATTCCTGAAATGTTGGGGATGTGCTGGGAAGAAAGAGAACACTCTGAGTGTCATGGCTCTGATGATGGATGTTCACAGATGTGCATTCTGTGCCCAGCTGCAGGTTGAACCCAGAAACAGAACAGGATTTAACAAGAGTTTTGTGCACTTGGAAGTGACTTACCAAGCCAGAGAAGCTCTTGCACTCTTTTATCTTCCAGAGAAGTATGAAATGAAGGAATCTCTTCAGATTTTTACAAAATCTGCTTCTGCCAACATTGGTTCTGAGGCTAGACATGTACAGAGAGCTGTGATCAGAAAGCATAGGAATGAAAAAGGAAGTGGGAGAAAGGCATTTTCAGAATTAAACCTTGCTTTACAAAAGGTGAACTTAGTTCAGCATTCTGCACAGTTCTTTTGTGAGATCTTTTGTATGGATCTACGCAAGATGGAGAGGTTTGATTTATTATCTCCAAAAAGTAATTGAGATTAAAGCACTCATTCTGTCTCTTCAGTATATTTTTATTGGACAACTTAAGCAAAATTACAGCATGGCTATACTTTGCATAGAGGATAGCTTGATGTATTAATGATTTGAATCCCAGGCTCAATCCTTGGGTAGATTTGTCTTCATGAGAGAAACAAACTTTTAGGCGTGATGGACTTTGCAGTTGATAATCTTTGTGATGAAATAGTCTGCACCTTTGCCTCACATATTGGAAAAAAGCTCTGGGCTGGCATGGGAGCTGAGATAAAAGCTCTCTCGGGTGAGGGTCAAAAATGATGTGTGACATTTATAGGGAATGTCTGTGGCATTGCACAACTGCCTCCGTTAGAGCTGGATCCTGAGACCCATGAATGTCCACTGCATCCCACTGAGAGTTCCTGACATGGGAACAGCCTGGATGACAAACACGAGTTTGATTTTTTCATTTTCTTCATTCTGAGTTTCTTGAGAGGAGAAGAGAGTGGAGGGAGAGGAGGGATCTGCAGTAATTTTGCACATATGATCCACTGAGAGTTAAAGTTGAAGTACAAATGAGATAAATCTTTTTAAAAAGCAAGGTAATTTTTCAAATGTTTTTTTTGGCAGAGCAGATTGGTTCCAGAAAAGGTATGTCCTCTTTTCTCTGTTTGCCACAGTGCCCAGAGGAAATGGCCAAAAGTCCACGTGGAAGCTTCTCCACAGGTTACTCCACCAATGGTGCAGGATTTTTCCTCCATGAAAACCTGTGAGAGCTGACAGTTGGATCTCTTTGAGTTTCCGTAGCATTTCCATGGGATCTGTAGAGCTTATAGTCTGTGGGCTAGCAAGTAGTCTACCTTATGAAAAAGATCTGAGGAAAAACTGAGAGCATTCTTTGTTTTTCACATCCGACCACCAATTTTCTTCTGTCACATAAAAAATTTGGGCTGGCTCCATCTACTGAAGTGGATTTCATCTGATAGAAGTGGGATTTTTCAGGAGGATGATAGTTTTTGAATGTCAAGCATTACAGATAGAACAGGTTGGACTGGAATATTGATGTGGTGTACATGTGTGATGAGTTACAAAAGTAAGCCTCTCAACAAATGCAGCTTTAACAGTTGTAATTGGCGATGTGTTTGCAGTGCACCTGTTTGATTGCTTTTGAGGACTAAGATTTGACTATTGTATGGCATGCAACATGTAATATTTCTTTCCTTTCCCAACTGCTTTCTATTACATGCCCAGGGTTTAGACCGCTCCAATTCCTGGGTAAACACTGGTGGTCCAAAAGCAGCCCCATGGGGATCCAACCCCAGCCCAAGTGCAGAGTCAACACAGGTGGTGTCTTCGGTAGAGGTTTTTCTGGCTTTGTTTTCTCTGATGTTTCCCTGTAGAATATCCTCAGTGCATACTCTGATTTTGGTGGTTTGCTTATTTATTTACTTACTTATTTAATTGCTCTTTGTAAACTTTGAGTTTCGTTGTATAAATCAGCATCTTCTCCCCCACCACCTCACTGCACTGCATGACAAACCCCAAAACTTGTGAACGTGTCCCCTTCTTTCATTTCAGTGGTTGCTGGTCTGTGAAATGTAAATGCTGTGACTGCTTTTCCTTTCTTTTTTCTCTCTTTCTCTCTAACACTAGTTTCAGCTTCAGGTGGAGCACATTTCTAAATGGGAACATCAATCACAGCCTCATAGTTTTGTCCATGTTTGCCATTTCTTTTAATGTGAACCATTTTGCCATTTTCATCAAGCATTTAGTATTCATAGTCAAGTAATCCTTCATGTCTGTTTGAGTGGAATATTATTAAACCAAAATTGATACACATGTAAAATTCTCTCTTGGAAGGTGTAAATTTAAGTGCTGGAACCAGTGATTCTCTGGGTCCAATTGTATCTGTTCCATGTTGCAAAGTATGAAAACTTTATAGCAGCTTTGGTCAAAAAGACTTAAGTTATTTTAGCCCCCCATTGCCTGCTGCTTTCCACTGCATGGTTGCCTTGAACATACCTCTCAACTGTACTTCCTTTCAAGTTTGCCACTTTTACAAGTACCCAGTCACTTGTACTCCTGCCAATTATTGCCACCAGAAATAACTTAAGTGATTTTCTCGTTCTCTGTGCCAGTAGCAGTGTTACATCCACACGTACTTGGTCTGGTAGAGTGAGAGGTATGGCACTGAAATTACAAGTATTACTTCCTTGACATATGCATGTTGATAAAATAGAGCGATGAAAAGGTTTCATGCTTTGCAGCACTAAATGTCCTTGTGCATAAGAACACGCAGTTATTTAAATAGCCTATGTGTCTTAAAACAGTAAAAAGTTCTGTCATGTTGCTTAAAGCAGGTCTGTAAATGAGTAAGACTTTGAGAATGCATAAAAAGGTGTAAAGGCAGTAAAAGCCTACAGTTGGAACAGTATTTTTGTAAACGTACGTTGTCCTTGAGCTGCAAAACCCATCCACAGCAAACTTTAATGTCCTGTCATCATTCATTCATCTCCACTCCGTAGGCTACGGATCGAAGTTGTAATCGTATGTCTTCGCACACTGAGACGTCAAGTTTCTTACAAACATTAACAGGACGGTTACCAACTAAAAAGGTAGATTTCAGTGAAGACAATTGATGTTGTGGGGCAGGGAGGTCAAGTCATTCTGAAAACATCTGTTTTATCTATAGCCTGATTCTTTCTGAGGTCGTTAGGAACCGCTGTTGCTTAACACCTCTGAACATCCAGGCTGTGGTGAATGTGAGGTATTCTGACAGAGCCAAATTGGGAAGAATAATATCATCAGGAGTAGCTTGTCTGATTTAATGTCCGTGCTGTTTGGAGCCAAAGTATCTGTGGCTTTACATTAAATTACGGATAGCACTGTCTAGACATGTAAATGACACATCCTTGTGTGCAAAATTACAGTGTGTTTGATGGTTGGCACTGCAGATGTGTTCTGAACTCAGGGACGTAGGTGTTAATCTAGAGTGACTCCGGAAAGTGGGAGGGAGTTGCCTTGGAAGTGCATTCCCTTTAAGGAGATGAGATTGTACTGAACAACATCAGAAAGGCAAAATGCCAGACTTCTGTGTGAGGGAAATGTGGTCGCTGACAGTGTCCAGTCTGTGGATTGGTACTCCCAAGAAAAGAAATCTAAAAGCTGATTCTTAGCCCCACGTTTCTTTCTTACTGTTTTAAGTCCTTTCTCACAGTAAATGTTTATCTTTGTACAAATTGCTTTATATGTCCACTTTTTACTCCTTTTTCCTGCAAAAATCAGACCAGGCAGAAAGGTAGACTTTTAAAATAAATTAATATGAGCACCAAACCTTTTTTTTTCCTTTTGGGTGGGTGGAAAATCCTTTTGACACTTGAAATTCAATTTTGAAGCGAGATGCTTTGGAACGTTTCTCACATTCCATATCATGACATCATCTTTCATTGTTAGTTGGGGATTTCTTTAAGGAACCACCACTGCTGTCATGTCCTCAGTTATTATTTTGCTTAATCTCATTGTTTGCCATACTTTCCATGGACCGTGCTCCCATTTCTCATGCAGACTGTTTTGTGAGCTGCTGCTGAGGCTTGGACTAACTCTGGATTTGCTTCTGTGTAGCTTTTCCATGAAGAGCTGGCCTTACAGTGGGTCGTGTGCAGTGGGAGTGTGCGGGAGGCAGCCCTGCAGCAGGCCTGGTTCTTCTTCGAGCTGATGGTGAGCAAACTGGGAGCACTTTGCTTACTGCTTTAACATTCATCATTTAAAACACAAACAGCAACAACCGAGTCTCCATCCTGTTTCATTTCCACGAGTGACTCCACTGTAATTTATATTCCTATAGGTGAAGAGCATGGTGCATCATTTGTATTTTGCTGACAAACTGGATGCTTCAAGAAAGAATCGTTTTCCTGAGCGTTTCATGGATGATGTAACTGCTTTGGTCAGCACAATTGCTGGTGATATAGTCTCTCGGTTTCAGAAGGTAATGACAAACAATTAAAGTGAGCTCACATCAGAGCTCAGGCACCAGACCCTACTGTGTGTTCTTTGCTGATGCCTAGAGCAGGAGTTTCCATTTGAATTCACTGTATTGCTCTATTACTGCTCAGCGTGTTCTTTGTCATTTTCCATTTTTCTCTTCCTTCTCTCCAGGATACAGAAATGGTTGAAAGGCTCAACACCAGTCTTGCATTTTTCCTCAATGATCTATTGTCTATCATGGACAGAGGATTTGTTTTTGTTCTTATTAAGACCTGCTACAAACAGGTGAATGCAGATAAATGTTGTGACTTAGCTGTGATCCACGGCATAACTCTTCTTTTAGACAGACAGTGAAGTATGGACTTAATTTGCTTGTAAAAATATGACTTGTATGTACATCTTGTACTGCTACGTGTGCTGTTACTGGCTGGGAGGCGTGTGACTCCTGCACCTCAGAAGTTGAATCTGTAGCACAGAGAAGTAATGCGGATGGGGTCATGTAATGATGTCAGGTTGTTTAATTCTTGCTTTGGAAGCAGTTTTGGGAGCGGTAGTGGGGCAGGAGAGCCAGTGCTGCATTTGTAATCTGCTTTGGTGCTAACTGCAGTCTTACGGATTAAACTTGCCAGGTGTCTTCAAAGCTGTATTCCTTAACAAACCCAAGTAACCTGGCATCTTTGAGGCTGGACTTCCTTCGCATCATTTGCAGCCATGAACACTATGTCACCTTGAATTTACCCTGCAGCTTGCTCACACCGCCTGCGTCTCCATCACCGTCTGTGTCTTCAGCAACTTCCCAGGTACCCTGCAACAAGGGCCCTTTGTGGGAATTCAAGCTGAGCTTTGTTCTGAGGCTTGATTCACATGAGGCAGAAGATGTGTAACCCATATTTTCAGTCTCTGCTTGCTAGTATTTGTTGGAAATGTTTATTTAGAAATTAACTTCATTCAGGAAAGAACGGGTGAACAGCTGGAAAGCACACAGACAGAGTTCTCACTTGAAAGGCCCCCTTTGCCACTGATGTGCTGGGGAAAGGCTGCAATGGGTGGATGAGGGCTATGGGAACCATGCAAGGGTTGCAGGCAGTTCAGGTGATGATGTGACTTTGGCTACAGCAGTTTTGGTTTTACTTCTTTCTGCAACATCTTGAACCTGGAAGCATCTCTCGCATTCAGACTTTGGAGGGAAGTGTAACAGTTTTTCCTGCTGTGTTGGTTTTCACTTGTTTTGATATTGTATAATTGGAAAAAAAAAAAAAAGAAGCCCATATGTGTGCCCCCATAGTGTCCACACACCCTTTTGTCTCAAGGCACCTAATCTCTTTCCATGTTATGCATGAGCATAAATGAGCCATTAAAAAAAGACTTTGTACACTGTTAGCCTTTTCTTATAAAACAAGGGACTTTCTGTATACTGTAGTGCTGTCCCAACCTGCTCAGAAAAAGTAGAGTAACAAGTGTTTTGTTCAGGTAGATTAATTAGTTGAAAAATTAATTAAACTTACTCAAATTAAAGCTTTCTTAAGCCTGAGGAAACGATCCATGCCTGAGTTGAAAGTTTAACTAATGCACTTTCCAAGGTACTTTGGCTTAACTTCTCTAAGGCTGTCTTGCAGGGGAGAAGGCAATAATGACAAACAATTAAGAAAATTAGTAGAAAGCTTGGATATATTGTAGTTAAACGTGCCTACATCCAAACAAAACACGAAAAAAATAGTTCACCTGGGATCGTGTTTAATTCTGAAACTGCTTTTGTTGTGTTTCCTGGGCTTTGACTCTCTGTGTTCCAAGGATCCTTATGATGCAGCTGGTGAAACTTAGTTGTATTTTTTGTTTGTTTTTTTTTTCCAGAGTTCTGGGTTCTCCACAAATGTCCAAGACCAGAAGATTGCAAATATGTTTGAATTGTCTGTGCCTTTCCGTCAACAGCATTACTTGGCTGGGCTTGTGTTAACAGAACTGGCTGTCATTTTAGATCCTGATGCAGAAGGGTAAATCTTTGCAATTTTTTTCCTCAAGAATTTTCTGTAGCTCCAAGTAAATGGTGGATAGCAAGCAAATTCTGGCATGGCCAGAATTAAGTTATGTTTGTGAGTTGAGAAGGTAAGGGACCTTTAACTCTGAGAATCCTCTTTTTCCTTGCTGCTTCTGTTTCTCAGTTCCTTAGCACTGGCACTGTGAACATGATTTCAATCATATTTTTCCAGCTGAGGGAGGAAAGAGATTCCCTCTGGAGCCCCCAGCTCCATAGGGGCACCAGTGGAGTTCCAACAGGAAAACTGCTTTTATCAACTATAACAAAAAAATAATTTTGTGTTTAAGAAGTCTCTGTTGCTGGTGTTTTTAAATATTACAGTGCATTTTGCCTGTAGTCCCCTCTGTTCAACATAAATTATGCATCAGTGAGACCCCCATGGGTTACATAAATAGACAAATAGAGTCAAGTGTGCAGAGTTGGTCAGTGACTTGCCTGGCTTGTGGAGCAAATAATTTTTTGAAGTGGGAGTGTAGCCTGTAGACCTGACATCCAGTCTGTTACTTGTATTATTTAGGGCTGTTTTCTGCCTTGCTCCTTTCAAATGGATTTCAATAGAAATTATTGATTGCTTCTGCAGTCCTAAGTTCTCTCACAGGCATTTTCTCAAGGTGGACCCAGAAATATCAGCAGAGTCGACGAATGCTGATGATTCATGGGTAATTCTGCCCCTTTACCAAGAGGTCTCAGGAGTTAAACATTAATTCTGTTTCTTGTTGGAGAAGAAAGTGATGCCATAAATGAGTTTGTTGTCCTGTATAAGTGCATAACACATTGTAGTCCCACTTGTTTGGTCTGAAAAAGCAGCAAATCTTTACCCATTCACACGCTGCAGAAATCCTATTTGTAGCATAGGAATATCCTACTCCCTGTCTCTGGTCTCATTTCCCCTTATTTTCACAACCTTTCTTTTCTCACATACTACTTTTTGAGCTCTGTCACCTTGATGTTCTCAGCCCTTAAGCTTGGACCTTGGTGCTGGACCTCTTTGTCCAGCTGCACAGAGGTACTGTCAGTACGATTTGTGTCCACTAGAAAGATAGCTCCTATCTGGGCCCTCTGTAGACAGCAAAAGCCCACTGATACCAGTTCAGTTCTGGAAATCCCTTTTAATCAAAGGCTCCTGAATTTTGGTGAAGATGTGTATCAGTAAAGCATTTATTTGATACAGTTCTCCAGAATGACTTGTGGTTTGCAGCTTATTGGCTCTTCTCAGGATTAAATCTGTCTTTGCCCTGATGGATGCACCATGGGGTCTATCATTCTCATGCCTAAGAAGAGTTCTAATGGTCAGGTGTGAGGATCATTACCAGATGATTAATGGAGGTTTTAAGCATGCTTACCATTAAAGTATTTTGGCCACTGTTGGAAAAAGCTTACAATTGATCCCAGAAGTGGAGAGGGATGCCCACCCATTTAGCTGCTCATTCCAGTAGAGCTTTGCATTAGATCTTGTTAGGTGATCTAGAGCCTTATATTTGTTCCTTCCATGCTTTTGTTCCCTTGGTAAAATACATTACATTTTAGTTCACCCCTTGTATAAGAGCTCCTTGGATTCCACTGAAAAGGAAAGACTGCAGTGCTGTGTTGCCTAGAGGTTTGGTTACATCCCCCTGTGCTAGGTGCTGTACAATAACACAACATGTCACAGTCCTCCTCCAGAGCACCTGTAGTCTAAAAGAGGAGACAGCATGTGGATTAAAGAAGCTAGAGAGTTAGCCCAGGCAGATAGACCTTGAACAGGTTTTCTTTGCTGACAGCACTGCATGTCTTGATTATTCAGTGGTAACAACAATTATTGCTCATTTCATAGTGCCTGTGTTGACTGACATTACAGGGCAGATATGAGAAAATCAGATTTGACCCTGGGTATTCACCATCAAAAGTCCGTTTTTGCAGACGTGTGCACTGTTGTCACAAATCCAAGGCTGAGATGTCAGAGGGGCTGGTGCAGGGCAGCAGGATCACTTCATTGCGTTATCAGACAGAAAGATAAGCAGGTCACATTTCCTCCTCCATACAGATTGATCCTGTACCCGTTCTGTTCAGGAAAAGGGAAAAAGAAACCCATCTAGCCCTAGGTTTTAATTACACTGCATTGTTTGAATGTGCTTTCCCTGTGCTTAGTTCCATTGCCTGTTGGATAGCTTGTTTCCAGCTATTCAAGTGCAGCCTAGATGCCACTCCTTCAAAACAATATAAAGCTTTTTCTTTAACCTTAATTTGAAGGTTGTGCTGCCAGTTATTTACATAAGCATTTCCTTCCTAGCTGTTTAGGATCTCATTGATAATGACAAGGCAGCTGTAGGATTTATATTGGTGTGATGTAAAAAACACAGAGAGAAATGTAGTTTCACCTACCTGATGCCTTCCTAACCTGTACTGGTGTCTTTATAACCACTTTAAACCCACAACAATCCAGTCAGATCCTCTCGTCTTTTTTAACCAGAACTTAACTCTACTTTTCAGGTAAAGTGGATACTGCCTGAAATTCGGCCCTTGTTTTAATACCACAGGTCTGAACACTGAAGCTTATGTTTTGCTACTGCATCATGTATGAGCTTCTTTGGCTGCTTTGTGCATGGGGTAGGGTTGTTGCATTGGACTGGTTTGCCTCCAGAAGCAAATAGCTACAGAGATACATGCTATTTGCTCTGGAAGAGTTTGCCCTCTGTGTGGTGGCTGAGGGGACTGAGAGGAGCAGAGTGAGTTGTCAGGAGTCAAAGGGGTTTATGTTCATAAGGCATGAGCACCAGTAGGCTTACACACAGTGTTGTGCAAGAGGGAATGGTGCTTGGGCCCTGCCATTGTTTGCAGCTTAATAATGAGGAAGGCCACTTCTTGCTGGGTTTTTCCTTCTGCCCCTCCATTTCTCTGACAGTTTGCATTCAGCTACTGAGCTGTAGTCTGTTTCGGTTGAATAATTGCATGGGGATTCAGGGAACTGAGGCAGAATCTTCCTGATCATCTGATAAAAGCAATGTTCTGTTTTAGGAGGGCTTTTCTCTCTGTGAATGGAGTTAAATAGAAACAGAAAAGAGCACTACAAGTGATGTCACTAAACCTACTCTTGAGTTTCTCTCCCCATCCTCTGTATTTCCCTATCTCTCTTAGCATTCTTCAGTTGACTCGGTACAGCAGCATTGCAAAGCTGGGGCTTTGTATGGAAAATGTGAGAGTGCTTGCATCATGTTGAGTGTACACCTCAGCAGGATGTTTTTATACCTTTTATATGGCATGGTCAGCAGCCAGCCATTTGTAAAATCTTTGGGTGATGGAAGAATATGTGCAGTGACAGTTTATGCAAAGTTAAAAATACAAACTAGGATTCCTTTTCTTCCTTTTTTTTTAACCGAAACCACTCAGTTACAACACACAGTTTGCTTTGAAGGCATTAACTAATCTGCGTGACCCAACTCTCTTTTAACAGTTTATTTGGATTGCATAAGAAGGTCATCAATATGGTACACAACTTACTGTCCAGTCACGACTCGGACCCGCGGTACGCTGACCCGCAGGTAAAGGCCCGGGTGGCAATGCTGTATCTACCTCTGATTGGTGTGATCATGGAAACGGTGCCTCAGCTCTATGATTTTACAGGTATTTTGTATTCTGTGCTATGATTTTACAGGTATTTCATGTTCTGTGCTGTGGGTATATGTTCAGCTGCTCACCAAGTTTGAGCGTTTCTTGTCTAGAGCAAATTCTGTTGGTTCTAAAACAAGACCTGTTACTGGTGGATGAGGTCGTTTGTATTTCTGAAGTATAATAACTTTGATGTGTTTCCACATCCGTTTCCTAAAGTGCACTTGCAAAATCCTCAAAATGGCTGAACACTCAAAGCTGCATTTGGCCACTTGTTTGCATAAAGTGAAAAGTGAGCAGTGCATTTTAATTGCTATCTACGTAAGGCTGGCCTGTCTCTCTGCTCTGACCTGATTCAAAAGTCATCCCATATACTGTGCAGAGCTCAGAACAATTAGAATCATAGAATCCTAGAATGGCCTGGGTTGCAAAGGACCACAATGCTCATCCAGTTCCAACCCCTGCTGTGTGCAGGTCACCAACCAGCAGCCCAGGCTGCCCAGAGCCACATCCAGCCTGGCCTTGGATACCTGCAGGGATGGGGCATCCACAGCCTCCTTGTGCAACCTGTGCCAGTGCCTCACCACCCTCTGGCTGAAAAACTTCCTCCTGATATCTAACCTAAACCAGTCTCAGTTTAAAACCATTCCCTCTTGTCCTATCACTATCCACCCTCACAAACAGCCATTCCCCCTCCTGTTTATACACTCCCTTCAAGTATTGGAAGGCTACAGTGAGTCTCCCTGGAGCTTTCTCTTCTCCTAACTAAACAAGCCCGGACCCCTCAATCTTTCAAAGGTTAAAAAGAAGGAGCAGAGTTCCTCTACTTCCTTTCTGTGTGTGCTCTATCAGCAGGTCATTTCAGGTGTGTCCTGCAGAGAAGCAGAGGTGAGATGTGTCAGCTCAGGGCAGGTGATCTGGTCTGGAGTAGTTTGGGATTTGGAGTCCTTGCCATCCTTTGAGTTTAATGGCACAGTAAAGCAAAAAGTAAAGTTGTGGTGTTGGGACTTCAAAGGAGTGAAAAGTCTTATTTTCAAAAGTGTTCTAGATACTGAGGTTGTATAGATTGCTTTTACAAACTGTTACTGTCTTAGCCTTGCATAATCCCAAATAATAGTAAGCCTTGTTTACTTGCAGGACCCTATCAGTGGGTGTGATGTTTCTCAGTTTGCCTTCCTAGATGGTTCAGTGAAACAAGCACTGCGGAGGGAGGCTGGGGTTGAGTTTGGGGATTAAAGTGTTGAGTTTGGGGATTAACTAGGATGTGTGTGTTTCTGGCAGAGAGTCACAATCAGCGAGGGAGGCCGAGCTGCGTCACTGCTGATGATTATGAAGGCGAGAGTGGAAGCATGATAAGCCAGACAGTTGCCATGGCCATTGCAGGAACATCGGTCCCTCAGCTCACCAGGCCCAGCAGTTTTCTACTCACCTCATCGGTACAAAGCGATTTCTGCCTATTCCTTGACCCTCACCCTGTGTCAATAAGCAAATATTTACATGTGCACGCCCTGTAGGGCTGATCAGTGAGCAGCAGAAACTCGTATCAGTTTGTGGCTGGGTGTTGTAGAGGGTGAAAGACAAGGGAACAAATCACTACTGAATGTTGTTGTACCTGTCTCATTGGGGTGTCAGGCAGGGATGAGAATCAACAAACTTCAGAATATGTAAGAATTTTCTGATAAAGATTCTCTCTTTCTGAAACAATTGCATAAAAGCTCTTTGAATTACAATGGTTGTTATAAGTTCTAAGCAAAAATTCCTACCACATCCAAGTCTTACCTAGCTGAAGATGTAAATGGGCCATTTCCCTTGTTCTCTGCACAGGAAAGGGTATCTCCTCAGTTCTAGCAGACCCTTCCATTTCTCCCTATTCACTTCTGTTCCTACCTGGCAATTATTTAGGCCAGAGTAGCACCTTATGGAAATCCTTTAGTGGTGACTGAAGCATTTTTGGATGTGAAATCCAGTGTGACAGATGTCTTGTCCTATCTGTTCTAGAGCGGCAGGCAGCACTCCACCTTCTCAACAGAGTCCAGCCGCAGCCTCCTGATCTGTCTCTTGTGGGTGCTCAAGAATGCAGATGAAAGTGTCTTACAGAAGTGGTTCACAGACCTGTCAGTGCTGCAGCTCAATCGCCTGCTGGATTTGCTTTATCTTTGCGTATCCTGTTTTGAATACAAGGTACTGGTATTTAAACCTCCTGGAGTTTCTTCTAAGGCTCGCAGAGAAATGTAACACTCCCATCCTTTGTACAATTCCAGAAAGGCATTTCCTGTTCTCTCAGTATTTCCTGTAATCTAAATCCCATGGCTAAGCACTTCTCTGTGCAGCCTCTGGCGTTCTTCCATGTTTACTTTTCAGTCATGTAAGTGTTTCTGTCTCCTTTCATTTTTTATGTAGCTTGTGTTGCTTGCCACTCATCTGGGAGCTGCAGCATTGTAAAGGAAATATCTCTTGGTCATTTTGCTTGTTCCCAACAATAAGAGAGCTTTTCGAAGTGTTGCCGGATCTGGGTAGATTATCTAGTTAGCAACTAAAGCTATGTTCCTTTCTTTCTCTCTTCATACAGGAATGATATTTTGAGTTGTTGCACTTAATAAATAATCCAAATTGAAAGTCTCTTCCCTCACTATCATTTGAAACTTGCAGGGCAAGAAAGTGTTTGAAAGAATGAACAGTCTGACGTTCAAGAAGTCAAAAGACATGAGAGCCAAGCTTGAAGAGGCTATTTTGGGAAGCATAGGAGCAAGGCAGGAAATGGTCCGAAGAAGCAGAGGACAGTTAGGTGAGTAAAGACGTCTTCTGCACTCTACATATTTTTCAAAAGCTGCTACTCCCTTCCTTAAATGGCCCAGGGATTAGGGCAAGAATCAGCTGGGTTCAGTCTCCTACTCTGCTGGAGGCTTCCTGGTACATGTGAGTCACTCACAGTGGGCTACATTGAATAAATATTTTAGAGACATAATTAATGAGTCATTTCACAGAGTTAGGGACCTTTGTACTTTTTTTTTTCTTCTCCTAAATCTGATCTGATTGCCTTTATCCCTTATCTGGGATGTTGTGTGATGAAATTTCCCTGCCCTCCCAGCAGTGGCAATAAAGACAGATAGCCTGTGAAGCAGGAAATGGGATCTCAGCACCATCCTGAAGACATCACTGTTTTCAGCTGACAAACAGTAGTGTCAGACTGCTGAGGATTGCTAAACCTAGGCTCCTGAGTAGTCCAAAGAAGTTGCTTCTCAGCAACCCTGATAGTTACCTCTCAGCAGTCTGTCTCAGTTGGCTCAGTCTGTACTGAGTACTTGGGTGAAAATGACTGCAAGTCAAGTTACCTCTCATGGCACTTAGTGAGAGACCATATAGACAGCTTGGGTCTGAGTGCCACAGCATTGGATCTAAGGAATAAGTTATAGCTTGCTGTCACCTGTTGCTTGTTAACAACGTAGAGTTGCTACTTAAAAAAAAATAAAAATAAAAATTAAATGGCTACTATTATTTTAATATTATCCTACAGAGAGAAGTCCTTCTGGGAGCGCTTTTGGAAGTCAAGAGAATTTGAGATGGAGAAAGGATATGACTCACTGGCGTCAAAACACGGAGAAGCTTGACAAGTAACTCTGCCTTATTCTTCTATTTTAACCATGTCACAGTGCCTGTGGGAATGCAGGGTCTCTCTCACCAGTGATGGTCAGTGGCAGCAGTCCACTTAGCCTGTTTGAGCCCTCCACTGGAGCAGGTCTGGCAATGTACAAATAGATTTTTGCCTGACACTGCCCTGTTTTAACTCTTATTTTCCACCATTCCTTACTTTCTCTGTATTTTTAAAAGAGATTTAACAAGACTAATACAATCCATGGCCTTCTAAAAATCCTGTAGTAAGCTGTAATTTAGAGAGAAGATTCATGAACAGTATTCACAGATAGCATATATATCCCATGTCATATTTCCTTTATTACATAAGAGCATTCTGGAGTTGTCAAAGCTCACTTTCCTTTCCTTCCCTAATCCATCACTTTGATTGTTTTTCCACATGTGCTGTGCTTTTAGAAGCCACAAACCAGCCAGGTACTGTAGTGTTGGTGTGCAGTTCTTATAAATTGCCATTTATACATCTGCAGATTCAATCATCACAGCCTTGTTTGTGATGCTTGGCAGAAGTTTTCAGTGTGTGTGTGTGTGTGCGTGTGTGTGCAACTGGTTGGAATGAGCTCCTCTTGCTTATTACACCCATTTCCTTTATAATTCCCTCTCCCAGTGTGGTTTAATTTGGAAGGCTCAGGAGTTGTGTTTGAGCTTTGCAGTGCATGTTTTCTGTTTCCTCAAATTGCAGTCTGCAGTCTGGAATTGTTCCTAATCCTAGGAAAGTAATCTCAGCCCAAGTGAAGCTCTGAAGAAACTGAGGAGCCAGGTCCTCAGCCTGGATGGAAGTCAGGCCAAATTTTACCCACAAAGACGTAAAGATACTTCTTGGATTTGAAAGTACATCTTTACAGTTTATCATTATTTTGTCCAACACAGAAGTGTAGATCTCTTGTTATGTCAGGTAGTGGCTTCTTGTCCAGGACTGCAGTCTGGCTGAGGCATCAGGAAAGCCAGATCAACAGTGTGTTTTAAACCTCCTCACAAAGTGATGTAGGTATAAATTTCACCATGGTTCAACTTGAGCCGTGGGCACTTATACTGGATTAAAGTTTGGCCTGCAGAATTCATCCTTTCACTACTGACACAGGGGCTGGGCCTCTCTCTTTGGCCCAGAAGGATCAGGCACCAAGCCTTCATGTTCTGGAGACTGAGGAGTAGACAATGAGTGTATGACCCAGCTCTCATGGGAAGCTGTGTGGCACAGGAGTGTTGCTGCAATACAGGTTCCAGGAACACTGTCAACCAAGTCAGCTCCATCCTCCTTGATGTGTGCTCTGTTTGGATTTTGTCAGTACTCTGCATCATGCCTTCAGTGCCATTTGGCCTGGCTTGAATCTGTCAGAGATAGCACCTGAGTCGGGCAAGCTGTAGCTGGGCCCTTTAGATGTAGCACTGGGGCTTTGCCAAGTGCAGCTCCTGTCACTGAATGGAGGTGGTTTCTGCTGAATTCCTGAGACCTCTGCTGTGAGTGGGGATATGAACTTTGTCAGCCTTTTGAGGGAAGTGAGTGCCTGGTATTAAACAGCAAAGTTGTGTGGGCTTTTTATTCGTGGCATGGAAGATATTCTTCAAAAACTGTAATGTAACGTAGCATAAGAGGGCAGAAATCACACCTCCACACTGTGCACTCTGCCCTGCAACTAGTCTGGCTGCTGGGAACAAAGTGCATAAATACCAGCTCGTGTAGCACCACCGTGTGTCCATAGCCTACAACATGAAACCATTCATTCTATTCCTGGTTTCGCTGTTGCATGCCTTACAATGCTACTAAACCAGTTTGAGTTGGACTTTGATTCTAAATGCTTGTTGTCTTCCTGGGAGAGTAATGAAGTGTCAGAAGTAGTGTGATCTCTCCTGAGCATGATGAACGTAAATCACCTGTAAGTTTGTATATGTAAAAAAAGCAAGTCTTCCTGTCCTCTTAATGGATACATTCAAGGATCGTTGTGTTGTCCAGCAATAAGTATGTGCATTGTAATCAAGGGGTTCCTGCCAATGAGGAAATATTTTCAAGTGGAGAAATAATATTGGGTTTACTTCTTAAACAGAAGGTAATTTTATTGCTTTCTTTTCTCCGAATAGATCACGAGCAGAGATAGAACATGAAGCACTTATTGATGGAAATCTTGCAACAGAAGCAAATCTAATTATTTTGGATACACTAGAGATAGTTGTACAGGTAAGGATGGTAGAAGAAAAGAGATGTGATACCATTAGGATCAGCTGGCCTGGCAGCAGTTCATTAAATAGAGCCTTCCTGCCATTCTAACTGCCTGAACACTGTCAGAACTGTCCAGGTCTAGTGCTGCAGCAGGAAGGATTGTAATGCCTCTCCTCATCCTCAGCCCTTTACAGTATGGTTTTTAAGTACTGTAGCTTTCTTCAGGGTTTTTGAAAATTGTTCCTTTTTTGTAGTTTAAGAAGTATTTGTTTCTAAAACTCCATTAATGAACAGTGAAAATTGGCTAATATTGCCCTATTACAACCAACTCCTCTGGTTCCTTCCCAAATTTGCCTCCAGTCATTCAGTTCTAGGTCGGTCTCTTGTGTTTGTACACGGTGGCACAGTGCAGGAAAGCCTCCAGGCTCCTCGCTGTGATACAAAATCTGTCTGTTTCCCCTTTACCCACTAGTGAGCATGGACACACGGCAGTTTTGTGTCATTCCATCTCCTTCAGCTCATGGGTCAGATTTCCATCACCTGGAGCCGATTCAGAAATGCGACTGTTCCACAGGCTCAGCAAAGTGGGCAGTTTTTCCATGCCAAAGGGGTTTTCAGCAGAGTTATTACAGCTCCCCCAGGAGATTTGCTTGTGCTCGTATGACCCTTGGTTTTCTTTTGCCTGCAGACTGTTTCTGTGACGGAGTCCAAAGAGAGCATCCTTGGCGGGGTGCTGAAGGTGCTTCTGCACAGCATGGCCTGCAACCAAAGTGCACTTTATCTCCAACACTGCTTCGCCACACAGAGAGCTTTGGTCTCAAAGGTGAATTCTCTGCAGAGGCTGTAATATATCCTGAGCAGTGCAGATGGAGGATGGGGCTGTTTTTTTCCCTTTATATCATTGTCACTTCACCCAGCATTTATTGTTTTGTGCAGGACTAATTTTCAGGAAATGGGGTCTCGGGATGGATAAAACCTGAATGGTTTTTGTGATTGGGGCGCTCTTTTTATGCAGTTTGGGTTTTATAGCTGTGCACAAAGGTGCAGTTCACGAGGAGTGAGTATGGTGTGGCTAGCAGATGTACTTAGCCAGCAGGCAGCGCAAGGAACAGCTGAAATTAAGGATGAATCTTGCTTAAAATTGATTTTTTTTTTTTTTCACTTGTACCATAATTTAAACTGTGATTCTGCATATGTACTGGGAATAGCCCAAAGGTTTAAGCCTGAGTTTTTGGAATCAGTGTGAATCAATCGAAAGGTGTATATGCAGGAGCAAGGAGTGGTGGAGTAGGTAAAATGAATAGTAGGTAAAATGTCTACCAGTGTTACCAGTGATTCTGCATCTCTCTAACTGTAAAAGTGAAGTGATTCAAACCAGCACAATTCCCCTCAAAGGAAGCTTTGAGGGGATTGAACTTTTTCTAATGCTGATGTATGCTTGATGTATTATTGCTTGATAGGATCATTGTGGCCTTTATGTCTGAGTGCTTGTTTCTGTCTGTCCAGGCAGTAGTTTTCTCATATGCTGTTTTTCCAGTTCCCTGAGCTGCTGTTTGAAGAGGAGACAGAGCAGTGTGCAGATCTGTGCCTGAGGCTCCTGAGACACTGTAGCAGCAGCATCAGCACAATACGGTCACACGCGAGTGCCTCACTTTACCTTCTGATGAGGCAAAACTTTGAGATTGGGAATGTGAGTGTCCTGCTGCACTTCATTAGGTTATTATATGGGAACTGGTTGGGGACCTCTGGATGGAGCACTGTGTATTCATTCATGTGAAAGTAAGGCTGTTAGGGGGCTTATCAGCTAGACAAGCATGAAAATGAATTAGAAATACTGGGATTTTTGTTTTCCTCCAGATGTTACTAATTTCTAATTAGATCTTAGGTTTACTAACTCACATGTGCTTCAAAGTGCTAAGAAAGTTCTCAGCTTCAGCTCCTCCAGCTGGTATTTTGCAAGTACCCACGTGCCTGTCTGTCACAAAGTGCTCACCAAGGCTGAGCAGCAGAACTGGAGGGATTCACTGACTCTGATAACAGTGAGTGCACAGTATTGGCAGGTTGTTGAAATACAGTTTCTCTGTTGCAGAACTTTGCCAGAGTGAAAATGCAGGTGACTATGTCTCTCTCATCCCTGGTGGGGACATCCCAGAATTTCAATGAGGAATTTTTACGACGTTCCTTGAAGACTATTTTAACATATGCTGAAGAAGATCTGGAACTCAGAGAGACAACATTTCCTGATCAGGTAAAAGAACCACAGGAATAAGTGGCATTTAGTTTATTTCCAGCCTGGAATATTTGCATGCATTCCTCGAAGGAGGTTCATACTTTTTTTTGTGACCTGTGTACACCAAACCCAGATCCTTGATTAATTCTGACAGTGAGGTAACCACACAGAGGCTCAGAGCAGCTGTAGCCCTGGCATAGCAGTAAGTAGCTTGATTCCCATTGCTACTTCATTACAGCAGTGTATTTTTTACAGGTCCAAGATCTAGTATTCAACCTGCACATGATCCTCTCTGACACAGTTAAAATGAAGGAGCACCAGGAAGATCCAGAAATGCTAATTGACCTGATGTACAGGTAGAGTCCATACTCATTGCACAGCAGGAACAGTAGATGTCAGTGTCCAGCTGGTGTTTGAAGAAGCTTAGTACTTATGGCACTTCTGTACTTAGAGCACTGAGTATTGTGTAGCTGTGAATCTTGATCATGCATTTGGCAATCATTTTACTTTTAACTTAAGCTTGTTTTGCACTGCTTCCTGTGATTCACATGTCACCTAATATAAACACAGGTAATTGCTCTTTGGTTTTGAACTCAGATGTTGTGCATTTGAGCCCTTACAGAGCATCCTTTTGGAGCAGTGACGCTGCAGTTCTAGTCTGAAATATGAAATTTAGTCAAGAGCTTCAGCAGTCACCCTTAGAGGCAGTGAGCCATCACTAGCTTGATCCAGTTGCTCGCCCACCAGTAGCTAGCTAAGAAATCTGTGAAGTGATTGTTGCTTAAACAGAAATGACTGCATACTAATTGCAGAGTTTTTTTTGTGTGTGTTTTTTCTCTCTCTTTTTTTTCCCTATTTTTAACTAGGATTGCAAAGGGCTATCAGAATTCCCCTGACCTGCGCTTGACCTGGTTACAGAACATGGCTGGAAAGCACTCAGAGAGGAGCAATCATGCAGAGTCAGCACAGTGTTTGGTCCACTCTGCAGCCTTGGTGGCTGAGTATCTGAGCATGCTCGAGGACCGAAAATACCTCCCTGTAGGATGCGTTACATTTCAGGTAGAGGTTATCTTCTGTAGTGTATTTTGGGGTTTTGTCACTGCTGCTGACAGATATTCCTATGTTTAGACATTCACACTGCATTCACTCAGTTGATTTTGAGGAGAATGCATCATAGCAAGTTCTGAAAATAATCTTTATGCTTGAACGCGGCTTGATTCCCCTGAGCCTCTCATCTGTAGGCTGAATGAATCCAATTGAGTTTATTTCTTCATATAAGTTGTACTTCTTTACCATCTGTTTAGTCCAGTCACTGTGAAGTGAGTGCAGTTGTTCCGAAGCAACTTATGGAGGGGTTGTTGTGACTCACATTAGGCAGGGCAACGCTGAGCAGAGCAAACAAGCACACAGCTGTGAACACATGGGCCACTCAATCAGCTCAACCATGTGCTGAAGTATCCTGTTGTTTCAGAAGGAGATGAAACAAAAAGCACGTAACAGCTGCTGCTTTAAACATTGTAGGATTCGATTGAAATCATCAAGCTTTCAAAGTGTTGAATGTCATTGAAATTGAGCACAAATTTTTACCTGTGTTATGTTTCCTTAGAACATATCTTCTAATGTTTTGGAAGAGTCAGCAGTTTCTGATGATGTTGTGTCACCAGATGAAGAAGGTATCTGTTCTGGAAAGTATTTCACAGAAGCTGGTCTGGTGGGATTGCTGGAGCAGGCTGCAGCATCTTTCTCCATGGTAGAAGACTTGAATTTCTTTCTCTCTCTCCTTCTCCTGGGCAAAAGAATGGGAAATGTTTTCTCAGTGAAACTGTGTAGCTCTGTTAATTCTTAACTGCTTAATTCACTGGAGCATTGGGAGTTTGAGCTGCTCAAGACAGCTCATTTTGCCCTGTCAAGTGAACTGCAGTGAGTGGGGTCGGGGAGCAAAGGGCTTTTTGGTTTCCTAGCATCTTTCATTTCAACACTGCACATTTTGGAGCTCACAGTGGCAGATAAAGGCCTCACTGTTTTTCTTCCTATTCAAAGTGGGTAGGCTGAGAGCTTTATGTGAGCAGTGTTAGTGAGCTGGTGGTAGTGTATCCATCAGAAACAAGTGAAAACAATGATTTATATCCGACAACACAGTATGAAATATTCAGTGGGTTTAAGTACAAGCAGCAGTAACTCTGGAACAAAGAGAAGTGCTGTAGCAGGCTGGCTAAGTTGCATGGTGTGTTGTCTCTTTACATCGATCATCTCCATTAGAGACATAGCTATATTGTAAGGAAAAGGTGCTGACTACATCACAGTGCCTTTTGGTGTGTGAGCCACCTTTTTATTTTGCAGTCTTAAAATGTAAATGCTGTATCATTCTTGCTGCTGAACTGATGAAGCGATCTGATGGCCCTTGTTTTTTTAGGCTGGCATGTATGAAGCAGTTAATGAGGTTTACAAAGTCCTTATTCCTATTCATGAAGCTAACAGAGATGCCAAGAAGCTATCCACTATTCATGGTAAACTCCAAGAAGCTTTTAGCAAGATCGTCCACCAGGTAATGATTTGGATTTTCAGCTGCAGTGTGAATTGTGGTCAAGTGAAAACTACCTATTAAGGAAAAAAACATTTTGATAGATTACACAAGAACTGCCAAATGGTGATCTGCAGTAAATGCAAGGATCACTAATTGGAGTTTTCTCTCTGTGTGTATTTGACTGAAGAAACTTAGAACATTGCATACCAAGTTTTATTGTGACTTCAGAATTATCCAAGCGTTAAAAAGTTCCAATCACGTGCCAGTTAATTCTTTCAGATGTTGTTTTAAAATGTATTTTGCATGCTCTGTTTCTGGGAGAACCACTGTTTCTTGCCTCTAGCCTGGTAGGTAACGCAGAGGAATGTTGGGAGTTTTATTTGCCTGTTAGAATGGTAGCTAAGCTGTTGAAAGAACCTTTTTAAACTTGGTGCAAAACCCACCAGCATAGGTGCTGAGCATTTGATGGGAGACATCAGACTTCACCAGCCTTCACAAAGCCCAGCAGACCTCAGCTAAGCAGGGGATGAGAGCACTTGGCAACTTTCTAGAAGCCTCTAGGAGATACTTGATGGGTGCATGCCTTCATTGCAGGCAGGCGTGGGCAGTAAGTGCCAGTGCTACTCTGAGCCCCCACCCCTGCCAGCTTTCTGGCTGTAGGCTGCTTGGTGCACAGTTGCCTGTTGGTATACTTACCCTTATGCTAACAGTAGATGTCAATCAGTGCATCAACTTCCAGCTGGTCTTCAGCAGCTGAAGGCCTGGTTGTTTCCCATGTTGTGGCACTGCCAGGTTTGTGAGGTTGAATGAACCAATAAGGAGCAATCATTGGGCGTCATTCTGGGCCAGAGAAGTCTGTTTTGGTTGCATGATGTCTTAAAATCATTGAAACCATTTCGAGTTTATGCTGCCTTACATTGATGGTCATGTTTTGGCCTTTGGACTTTTTTTTTTGTTTCTGTGACATGCCCTTTTTACTTTCTATTACACAGAGTACTGGCTGGGAGGTAGGTAACTCCATTTAGTTAGTAAAGAACACTAATAGATTTATCAGATGACTCACGCCAATGCTTGCCCACATGTGCTAGTTGTGGGTATTTCTGTTGCTGTCTGCTGTTAAAACTGAATTCATTAACCAAAGAAATACCAATAAACCGATCGTGGTCGTAGTAGGAAATTCTTCATAAGAAGCTGTAGGTAGTGCATGGATGCTGATGTATTCCACTAATGAGGTTCTTTGGTGAATGAGCCACTGTATCATCACTAGTTTGTTTTTATAATTTGTTTATATTTCTTTTCATCAGCATCAACATCCCTTCATGCCATATTTTCACCCCACCCACAGGGGTCGATTTAAGCAATAATGCTCAGAGGTACTGGAATACAGAACTGGTTTATCGCATGTGCAAACTGTATCTCAGACAAGAGGCTCCTTTATTCTGTTCGTTTAAGAGCAATCCATTTGTTATGTAGCTTTATCTGGCAGTAAAACAGCTCAGTTGTGTTAACTGGAGTCAGTTTTGCTGCTTCCATTTTTGTAGAGGCTGGTTGTTCCCATTTCTGCAACAATACACCATGAGAACCACATGTTGGCTTAGAAACAAGCATAGCAGTCAGCTTCATCTGGTGCTGCACCCAGCACAGACGGGTTGGATCAGTGAGGGCCCAGCCCAGCTGACACAGTTGGTACACGAGTGTCAAGAAGTCACAGAAGAAACTTTGAATGTTTCATGAGTGTTGCATTATTCACATAGACTTCAGCTGTCCGGTTAGTCTCTGCTTTTCTGTGAATCAGGCGACTCAGTGTGAGCCATCTCACCCCAACTTTCCATCACAGGAGAGCATTTAAGCCCACACTGTCTGATCTGGGGCCAAGATCAAAGTTTCTTTGATTTGTGTGACAAATAATTTGGGCTGATGATGTCTCAAAGATGGTTTTTAATTGTGGCCCAGCAAGAAGTGAAATTCAGTAGCTTAAAAATAGCCCCTGCTATTGAAGGACTGGCCCTGTAAATCATTTGCTTGCTCCTGTGAGAAGTCCCAGCAGGTGAGACTTGGAGTACATCATGGGAATGTCAACCATCCACATCCAATAGCCAATGCACGTGAAGGCCTGTGAGCATCTATCTTGATTAGTCTGCCCCTAAATCGACCCCTGAAGAAAGTTCTGTCATTGGTTATGGTTCTAACATCACTCAGTCATGTTTTATTGCATGGTAAAAGACACCCATGGTTTATGTTCTCGTCTGTCATCGTGCTCTTTCATTGCCACACTTTTCTGATCTTTGTGCTTCGTAGCTTTCAGATTTGTTGCATGTTTTTTTTCCTTATTTTCCTTATTTTTAAATACCTTGATTGATGCTCACCCTTTTTTTTTTTTTTTTTTTTTTTAATTTTAAGGTTTATTTGCTGCCAATTTGCTGCTTGTTTGTTTTTTGGAATTTCCCTAATTAAATACTTTCTGTTTTCTCCTCTATCGCCCTGGTTGCTGACCCTCCTCCCCACTCTTACTATTGTCTGTTGTGGTAAGTTCCTACTTGTGGATTTGTTTTGTTGGTTTTTTTTTTTGCTTCCTCCTTCCCTCTTCCCCTCCCCACCCCCTTTTTATTTTTTGTTTTTCTCTGTGGAAATCCCAGTTTCATTGTAGCAACAAGCTATGCCAACAGCAGGGTACACCCCATGTGTCCCAGGAAAAGCAGCATTGCCAACTATAGGCCTCAGTGTCCCAAGTGGCACCAATGCCTTTGGAGTGGTGGGTTCTTCTGCTCTGCTCTTGGTTTTATAAATATCGAATCCCTTTTTTGTGGGTTTTTTTTTTTTTTTTTGTTTGCTTGTTTTTTTAAGCATACAAAGTGATGTTGCCTCGAACGGCAGCACTCCAGAAACAAAAAGATATTGAAAAATGCATATTGAAAGAGTTGCAGTAGTTGGCAATGCTGCAAAGGACCTTGGGTGAAATTGGGCAAGAAAAGAGAATGCTTTCTTTGGTAGAAATGGTTGGATTTTGCATTCTGCACAGTGTGTATGAAGGAGTCACTTTCCCTCATGCATATTTGGGGCTGGCTCTGCCTGCAGGCAGCTGCAGCTCTGCTGGTGGAGAAAGCAGAGCAGAACTCCAGTGCTGGATTCTTTCGGATCTTGTTGGCAAAGCTTTTTGTGTGTATGCAAGAGATAACTCAAACTTGATTCCCAGCAATTTTGAAAGGTATTTACCATGCATAATAACAAATCATGAACCTTCATATGTCATGATGGCTGTTATCTGCTCTGCCGGTTCTGTGATGGCTATTCAGTGTTCACCTTCATTCTCTTCTCCTCCCCAGGACCTATTATTTTTCAAAAAATAATAGGAGATAAAATGCTTTTAATATTTTCTCCCTCGTATCTGCATTTTAGCTCTTTTCAGAAACAAGACCATGGAGTATTTTTAAGTGACACGTTTCCATTTCAGTACTGTTATTCCAGAGACTTTGGTGTAAGCTAAATTTCAACCTAGTGAGGTTTGCAGAGCCGTCTCCTGTTAACTCCAGGCAAGAAACTGAGCTCTCCTCATCCCACGGGGCTCACAGCTATTGAGTGTCCCCAAGGGGCAGGGAATAGCCTGTGGGCCTTCGCTCACCTGAGGAGTGTTTTCATGCTGAGATTGCCAGATATGGCCTCAGACTGGGAAACTGCCTCTACAAAGAGGATGGAGGCGTTCCTGCTCCACTCCTCCCACTGCAGACCCTTTCACTCCAAAGACACTCCTACAAAACCTTGTGGAGGGCAGCACAAAGGGTTTGGTGCTTCCTTTGCTGGGGAGCTGTCACCGCTCAGCCCATGGCTGATGGCTCAGGGCTGTGTGGTGGAGATGCTCTGTCCCACCTGGGCCAACCAGTGCTCCTTCTCCATGAGGTCCTCATGATAACTGAAGGTCAGCAACTGGATTGATAGGGGAAATTTGGTGCAGCTGGACTTCATGGTGATGGAGTGTGCACTGGGGGCTGGATCTCACCTGGCTTCCCAGCCTCTGGACTTCCCAGTCCCACATGGCTCTTATTTTATGCATTTAGTAAATGCTACCAGAACCACTTATTAATTAGAGCTGATAGTAGACAGCGTTTTCTTCCCCTCTTATTGATATTTTTATGGCAACATAAACGTACACCAGCTGTAAGAAGTGATGTGTGCAGATGGCTGTGCGGCTCCTACCTTGTAGGAACCAGGTTCTGCAAATGCTTTGTACCCCAAACCTCACATGCCCAAAGACAGGGCCAAATCCTGGTCAGTTCTGGTCAGAGCTGGGCACAGCTGAGCTCTGCCCTCTGTAGCATGGGGCAGGCAGCAGCCTTTGCCCCAAAAACAGGCATTGCCCACCGTGTTCTTCAGGCCAGCACCTCACCATGGCAGTGCTTCAGAGCTCTCCTGAGATATCCTTATTTACACTCCTTGCCTTCCATAGATCGTGTTCACCATCATCACAATAGATCAGTTTTGCCATAGCAAAAATAAGAAATAAATAGCAGATAAGACTCATGTGCAGCAGCCAGGACACCACAGCTGCTCTCTGAACCCAAACCAGAGCGCTGTGCACACGCGTTCTCACGAGAGTAAAGGTGAACATCTCACAGTTTCTTGCTGAAAAGCATTTCTGGTTTGTGCATGCGGAGTGAATTGTTTTAACAAGATTAGAGGTGTGGTTTATTTTTAAAGTGTTTTTCCTCTTTCTGTTAATCAGATTTTCTTTGTTACTTTCCAGCAAAAATCTTTCTGTTTCTCTTCTTTTTGTTGCATTTCTGGGCCAAATTCACCACTGGCTCAAAAGGAAGCAGGTACATGACACAGTGAATTGCATCTGCTTTCAGCAGGAGTGACTTTGGCCCTCCCTCCATCCTGGCAGTCAGTCCCTAGGAGGCTGTGACACCCCCAGGGCCGTGCGCTGTTCCAGCACTGCTGTGTGTGCGTGTGTGAGTGCCCTGGACATGGACATCAGCCCAACCCTGCAGTTAGCTCAGGGTGGATCATGGGGCCCTGAAGGGCATCTCTAGGGGTGTTTGTGTGCTGTGTCCTCCCTGCGTGCTGCAGGCTGTCGGCAGCTATGGGCCAGGCCTGAAGTAATACCCAAATGTAGGAACTCACCTTTGTTCCCCAACATCCAACGCCCTCAGGCTCCTCCTGGGGTGGCAGAAGGCATTGCGGGGTTGGGCTGATGGTCATCCTGGATCCATATAACCTCACATTAGTTTGTAATTTCATTGCGGTGTCTGCTGCTAAGCGTGTTCATGCTGAGTTCCAGGTGTGTTTTTCTTTCCTTTCTTTCTTTCTATTTTTTTCTTGGTTCGTTTTTAATTTCTTTTTTGAGTTTGCATAATGTCAGGAGCCCTCCTGCAGCCACATTTGGATTGTGCTTGTCCCTACACTGAAACAACCTTTTGTTTCTCCAAACCTAGGATGGAAAGAGGATGTTTGGCACCTACTTCAGGGTCGGTTTCTATGGAACCAAGTTTGGAGACCTGGATGAGCAAGAGTTTGTTTACAAGGAGCCTGCGATAACGAAGTTAGCTGAGATTTCCCATAGGCTCGAGGTGAGATGATCTCTCTGTGAACTGCAGTTTATCTGTTTTCCATCTGTCATTCACAAATCATGAGTGCTGCAGACCTGCTATGATCACTTGAAGATCTGTGGCTTTTCACAGTGTTTGCATTTCTCATCAGCTGCCTAGTGCAGTGGGATGACTTAGGCTTGAAAAAAGGCTGAGATGCTTTCAGAATCCAGCTGTTGGAAAGCATTGCTTTTTATTCTCATGTTCTCACCTTTGCATTATGTTCCTCTTCTCCTAGAGACAGTGCCCTTAACAGAAGCTGAGTTTCGGAGCCCCCAGAGTGGGCTTCTCAGGTGTCTGAAGTTTGTTTCAGCTGTGAGCAAGCGAAGGCAACTCTCATAAATCTACCTTGGCTTTGGGTGCCAATGTAAGCACCAGTTCGTTCCTCAGACCTGGCCCTGTTTAATTGCTGGAACAGATCTGCTCTCCTGTTGTTGCTCACGCTTCAGTTGCTGTCACATGGCACTGAAAGCAGCAGTGTTATCTGAGGTCTGGGCGCACAGAGCTGAGTTCAGACCCATTCATCCGGCCCAGCAGAGCTGCGCTCTGACGCGGCCCCTGATTTCCAAGCAGATCCTGCATTGACCCCAGCTTTCAGTTGAGCTCACAGACACACAGTGAGCTCAGAGGTCTGTTCAAAGCCCTGCAGCACGTGTGTGCAGTTGGAAGGCTCCCGAGTTCTCTTGGCTTTCCGGGTGTTAGGCTCATTTGTTTCCTGTTGGCCCTGGAATGCGATTGATTGAATTCTCCTAGGTTCAGCAGATCACATTCAGCCCTGGTGCAGATGCGCTTGAAGGCATTTGAAGCTTCACCTCCCCCTTTGTCTCTCCAACCCCCACCTTTGATGGATGCCTATGATGCTGTATCTCAGTGCATTTGCTCTTGATTGTAGGGATTTTATGGAGAACGGTTTGGTGAAGATGTGCTTGAAGTGATCAAGGACTCAAATCCTGTGGACAAATGTAAACTAGATCCCAACAAGGTAAGAACACGAGTACAGAGTCAGCAGTAGAACTGGTCCCGAATGTACATGAACATGGTGGGCCAAATCCTTGCCCTGGATTTCGCCAAGTAGGTGATGTTTCCATGAAGAGAGCTAGAGAACGTCTCAGAGAAGAGAGGTGGGGAAAATCTTCCCAGCAAAGGAGTGCAGAATGAGCCGTTTCCTTCCTGCCCTGTGTTGTGTCCTGTGGGCTTGGCAGAAGGGAAGGTCAAGAGACAAAGAGACACTGCAGTCTCAGGCTGCATTTGCCTGTCTCTGTAATCTCTATGAAATGCAAGGAAGGAAGGGAGTTTTCCATTCACTGGCCTTGTAGGGTTTTTTTTTTTTTTTTTTCTGCTGTAGCATTTTATCATTCTTGTCCTATGTCTTTTAAGCTCCTTTAGGCGTAACAGAAATAATGGGAGCTTGGCTAGGAAATTAAGACTCCAGTTTAGAAGAAGGTATTATCTGCAGAGAAAGGGAGGAAACACTTCATGTGAAGAGCTTCAGAGGAGAGGGGCAGAGTGCTGTATCTAGTCCAGAAGATGCTGAGCACTCACCAGGCACTCCAGCAACATCAGTGTGACGTTTCTGAGTAAAGGCAAGGAGCAATCCTAGTTCTGCAGAGGAGTTACACCAGGCTATGGCAGCGCAGGGAGTAGAGGTCGTCTCATCTCTGTGCTTACCTGGATTCCTTCTTGCAGGCATACATCCAGATTACCTATGTGGAGCCTTACTTTGACACGTATGAGATGAAGGACAGGATAACTTACTTTGACAAGAACTACAACCTGCGGCGCTTCATGTACTGCACGCCCTTCACGCTGGATGGCCGAGCTCACGGGGAGCTGCACGAGCAGTTCAAGCGTAAAACCATCCTGACAACGTCCCACGCTTTCCCTTACATCAAAACCAGGATAAACGTCATTCACAAAGAGGAGGTGAGGCCTGCACTTTGCCCAGCAGACATCCCCACGGCTCTCCTTTGAAATATTACACAATAAGGGAAGTAGATGTTGCTGAAACTCCTGCATGATGTACCTTGGTACATCATTTAGTTAAACCCCAGGGCCGCACGGAGTCATGGATAGAATTGTAGAACCATTTGGGTTGGGAAAGGTCTTTAAGATCATCCAGCCCAATCCCAGCTCACTGACTGTGTCCCTCAGTGCCACGACCCCACAGCTCTGGAACACCTCCAGGGACAGTGGCCACCTCACACCCTGGGCAGCAAGTTCCAATGCTTGTCATCCCTTCGTACTGCCACACAATATCTGTCCTGTTGGTGTCCTCTGCCACTTGTCTCCACCGTAACAAGTGTCCTGTGTTTTGGCTGCTTGCTTAGATCATTTTGACACCCATTGAAGTTGCCATAGAGGACATGCAGAAGAAAACACAAGAATTAGCTTTTGCAACTCACCAAGACCCTGCAGACCCAAAGATGCTGCAGATGGTGCTACAGGGATCAGTAGGTACCACAGTGAATCAGGTGAGAACCGTTTTCTGAATTGGAGACAAGTGGGGTTGTGTATTGCTCTGCTCAGGCACTGGGCCTTATTTCCAAATTACTGTGGGTTTTTTTTACCATTCGGTGTATGGAATGTGTTCAAGATCACTGATGGGTCTAGACCAGCTCTGGGTAACTTTGCAATTTGACTGAGTCCTGAAAACATGGTTAGATCTGGGAAGTGGCTGAGTAGATAGAGATAGCCCTTCTCCCTCATTATCTGTCCCTTCCTGGCATCTGCAGTCACTTCTGACTGCTTCTCCTCCCCCTGTTCAAAGAAAAACATGAGATTTTATTGCTTCACCTTCAGTTAGCTGGACTGGTGTTTGGAACTGGGATCGTGTCCTGCTGTGGTTTTTGAACAAAGTGGAAAGCAAAGCTAAGAGTGGAGAAACATGGAGGAAAAATTGAGCGAATATGAGTAAACCTCCACTAAGGAACAAGCTGGGAAAAACAAGGCTGGAGTTTCAAGTTCTGGGCCGAGTTCACAGTGCTGGCAAAGACTTGGTTCCATCTGCATTGTTTAAACTTAGTTGTCAGTTCTGCAGAGTTTGTCAGGATTCATTGTAAGGGAAAACAAATGCAGAATCTGCACACATTCTCACCCTGTTTTCCAAAAGCGGAGTTTTATTTTTACAAATGCCTAAAAGCCACGCAGCAGTCATGATGTCTGGTGATTTATGCCAGATCTACCAGCTGCAGTTCTTTAAGAAGCACGCTGTGAGGAAATAATGCTGCATTTTACAAATGTTTCTGTGTGCAAGAAGTTTCTGCAGTGAGTGGATGTGACAGCGCTGAGAAACTTACTTTTTCTCTCTGCTCCTAAAGGGACCATTAGAAGTTGCACAAGTTTTCTTATCAGAAATACCCAACGACCCAAAGCTCTTCAGGCATCATAACAAGCTACGGCTCTGTTTCAAAGACTTCACAAAAAGGTATGGAGTGCTGTCTTCCAGATGCCAGGTGCCTTTAGTACTGCTGCGCCAGGCAGGAGCACTAACACAGGGGCTGTCTGGGAGAGGAGTGCTTGTGTTGTAACCATCTGCCTGGTTTCCATACGCAGCTGTATTCCTCAGCTTCCCACTTGGCTCCCTGTTTCTCTGGTGCTGCTGGTCCATGACTTCCATCAGGTCAAGTGCTGAAGTCATTTGGCTTTGCTGAATATTGGGAAGGAATTAGTGATCACAGCTCAGTCGTGACCAAGTGTTCCCATTTCAGAACACAGCTAGCCACACTGGCACAAATGAACTCACAGGTTGGCAGGGCCAGGAGGTCTGATTTCCTTCTGATGTGAATTTGTCCAAGCCACGTGGAAGTACGTTGGCAGAATTCTCTCAAGGAACTATACTGGCTGCTGTACTTTCCTCTTGAGTAATGCAAACTGCAGTCTTAAGCCAGTGTCTTTTGTAAGCAGTGAAGAATTAAAAGAATACGTATTGAAATGTTCAGTGCAGACAGATCAGTGGCAATGTAGTTTTTCCATATATAATAGGTGGTGGTGATGTTAGAGTTCTCTTCATGCCCTTTATTTAAATCACGTCTTTCCCAGTAGAAGTTCCCAGTGAACATCTTCTGGGTCTGTCTTCACAGTAGGTCTTTGAATCTTGGACTGGAAGCGCTGTGTGGAGATGGGCTTTTCATTTCTCTTCAGCAAAGATGAATGTAATTGGAGAATGAA